AGTTTAGGACCAGAGGGCTTCACCACTGAATTTTATCAAAACTTTACAGAAAAACTCTCTTCCCAGAGTATCCCATATAATTAAAGGGARGGAATCTTTTCAAACTCATTCTAGAAACCAACATTACACTGAYACCCAAACCAGACACAGACACAACAATAAAATTACACAGCATTTTCGCTGGTGAACATAGAAGCARATATTCCCAATAAAATACAGAAAATTGAATCTAACAGCATGTAAAAAAGATTATATACTAAGACCAAGTTACATTTATCCAGTGGGTACAAAGATGGCTCAACATGAGCCAATTGACAAACATATATCACCAAACAGAAAGGACAAAAGTCATATGATCATCTCAGTAGATTCAGAAAAAGCATTCAGTGAAATCTACTAACCTTCATGAAAAATTAGGTATAGAAAGAACATACCTCAACACAATGAGGTTCTGCATGACAAACCCACAGCTACCATCATACTGAATGGAAAAAAGCTGAAAGGGTTTCTGCTAAGATAAGGAACAAGAAAAGAATGTCCACTTACACGACTCCTATTCAACACAGTACTAAAAGTCTTAGACTCCACAATTAGGCAAAAGAAAGAAATAAAAGATGGCTGGATGTATCTTAGTGACAGAGCACTGGCCTCCTGGGATTGAACCGGGACCACACACACACACACACACACATGCCCCAAATGAACAAAAAGGAATGAAAGACATACAAATAGGAAAGAAGGAAGTCAAATCATCTCTGTTAGCAGATGACATTATTTTATACATATAAAAAACAAAAGACCCAAGAAACTGTCAGAACTGATAAATAAATTTAGTAAGGTTGCAGGGATACAATATTAATATACAAAAGGTAGCTTTTTGTATATGCCTATAATAATATTTCTGAGAAGGAAATCAAGAAACCAGTCCCATCCACAATATTTAAAACAACTCAAGAACGCCTAGAAATAGAGTTAACCAAGGAAGTGATTGATTTTTATAATGAAAATTATAAAGCTCCAGTAAAGTTGAAGAGGATACAAAACAAAAAAACCAAAACCAAAACCAGAAAGACATCTTGTGTTTATGGATTAGAAGAACTTTCCTTTGTTAAAAGGTACACACTCAAACTGATCTACAGATTCAATGCCATTCCTATCAAAATACCAGTGACATTCTTAATAGAATTCCTAAAATTGAGARAACCACAGAAGACCCCAAATACCCCAAGCAATTCTGAGAAAAAGGAACCAACGTTGGAGGCATTATAATACCCAACCTCAAAATACACTACAAAGCTACGGTACCTGGTGTAGAAACAGACACATAGACTAGAAAATCCAGAAATAAATCCAAGGATGTACAGCCAATTGTTTCTAACAAAGGTAGAAAGAACACTCATTGCAGAAAGAAAAGTTTCTTCACTGAATTGTGCTGGGAAAACTGTATATCCATATGCAAAGAAACAATGGACGTTGGTCTAGGTAAAAAATTTTTGGATATGATACCAAAAGCAGAGGCAGCAAATGCAAAAAAATTGATTATTGGGATTACATTAAACTAAAAAGCTTCTGCACAGCAAAAGGAAACAATCAAGAGGGTGAAGAGATGCCAAGCACAGTGGCACATGACTGTATTCCCAGCTACTGGGAAGACTGAGAAGGAATATTTCAAGCTCCGGGCCAGCCTCAGAAACTTAGGAAGACTCTGTCTCAAAATTAAAAATTTTAAAAAGGCCTGGGGATAAAGCTTAAGTTCCCCTGGGTTTCATCCTCTGTACCAAAGGGAAATAGAGAGGAAGGGAGGGAGGGAGGGAGGGATGAGGGGGAGAGAGAGAGCAAGAAGGGATGACTTATAGAATATGAAAAAAAATATTTTCAAATTCATCTAAAAAGGGATTAATTTCCAGAACACATAAGGAACTCTAATAATTCAACAGCAAAAACACAAATAATCTGATTCAAAAATGGGCAAATGACTTGAATAGRTATTTATTAAAAGAAGATATATAAATGGCAGGCAAGTATTTGAAAAAAAATGCTCAACATCACTAACCATTAGAGAAATGCAAATCAAAAACTCAGTCAAATATCATTTCACCCCAGTTAAAAAAAATATTATCAAAAATAACAAATGCTGGCGAGGATATGGAGAAAGAGAAACTCTGATACACTGTTGGTGWGAATGCAAATAGTTCAACCACCTATGGAAGAGTATGGAGATTCCTCAAAAAATGAAAGATAGGACTCCCAAATGATCTAGCCATCCTACTTTTGGTATATATCCAAATGAATAAAATCAACACTTCAAAGAAACACTTGCACTCTCCTGTTAATTGCAGCACTATTCCCAAGACATGGAATTGGCCTAGATGTTCATCAATGTATGAATGAAGAAAATGTGGCATATATACACAATGGAATCAGCAATACAGCCATAAAAAGGAAAGAAATTCTGCCCTTTACTGAAATATGAAACTGCAGGACATGATATTAGGCAAAATAAGTTAGGAAATATTACATATTCTCACTTATRTGGGAAAGCTAAAATGTTGATCTCAAAGAGAGAACAGAAGAGTGGTTACTGGAGCCTGGRAAGGTTGTGGAGGAAGGGGTATCTAGAGAAATGGTTAATGGGTACAGGGATGCAGTTAAATAGGAGGAATCACCTCTGATGTTCTATAGCATCTTAGGATAACTGTCTTTGACAATAATTAATTGAATACTTCAAACTGTTATTAGACAGGATTTTGAATGTTCCCAACATAAAGAAATGATAAATATCTGAAGTGACAGAGATGTCAGTTACCCTGATCTAATCAATGCAGATTGTACACACTCAATGAAATATATGTACAATTACAATTGGAAACAAAACATATTTAAAAAATAAAATTAGGGAATAGTGATGTATTTCRGTGATAGAGTACTTATCTTGCAGTGCAAGGCTCTGGGTTTGAACCCCAGCACTAAAATCAATCAATTGATCAATCAATCAATAAAATGTAAAATTAAGTGAGTAAAGGTGTAACTGTTCTGTGCCTGGCTTACCTCAAATACCACACAAACTATCGTTATCTGGGTGCAGTAGCACATACCTGCAGTGCTAACTATTTGGGAGCCTAAGGCAAGGGGATCCCTTGAGCCTGAGAGTTCAAGACTAGGTTAAGCAACATAGTAAGATCCCATCTTCAGAACAGAAATAAAACTATTGTTTCCCTTATGAACATGGTTGCAAATATCCTTTCCTTTGTTTTGTCTTTTAGTAATTCATGTTGAAAGAATTATCTCTGAATGGACAGTTTTCACTTACAATCTTTGTAACATTATGGTTCACTAATAATCTTTTCAACATTTGTGGATTAACAGTTATGTGGTCACTGGAGTTGAAGTGTCTGCTTTTCCTTGACCTAGATAGAGGAGCTTGAAGCACAAACTAAATCATGTCCTTCTCTTTAGAAATCAATCAGTTTAATGAGAAAGTAATGGTAAGTGCTCAATAAATACTACCTGTTATAACTATATTTCAATGATGAAAGTCCCTTGCAAAGATTTCTGTATCCATAAATTTAAAAATACATGCTATTTAGTAGATCAAACAATGTGAATGTACTTAATATCACTAAACTTTATACTTAAAAATGGTAAATTTTATGTTGTGCAATTTTACCATAGTAAAAAGTAAAATCATAGTAATTAGAACATACAATAAAAACTTACTTATTGATTTTTTGATTGATAAATTAGAACAAGTTACCAGAAATTCCAAATCCAGCCAAATTTATAAATCAGCAGTGATGTACGAATCTGTGTTTAGTGCTCATTAAATAAGCATTCTACTTAAAATTCATTTTTACATATACAAGAACCTAGGGTTTCAAAATTAGTGAACCGTTTTCTACTTACACCTTTATTTCTCACATGTAGGTCACCAAAGATTTACTAACAGAAAGGAGTTAAAAGAACAAATACTCTTTACTACCACAGAGCTCTGGAATAAGATGAGAAATCAGGTGAACCAGTGTTTGAGATATTTATTCATGAGACCCTAACATATCCTATGAAACACCATTACTTAAAAGTTAACACCATTACTTAAAAGTTAACACAAACAGGATAGTTACCAAGGTAGACCTTCTCTCCAAATAAGGCAGTGAGTGACAAGCCAGGATCTATGATCTAAGCCACAGTCTATATTTAGACATTGGGAGGCCTGTAATACTACTAGCTCTGGGCAGCTGAATGAACCTGAAGATTAATGGAGTTTAATGGAGTAGAGAAGTACATGCTCTATTTAAAATATCTTCAGAGAGTGCGAGTGTTCTCTTTCTCTAGAAGAAACACTAGAAGGAATGTATTTGATATCAGAGGCGATTAATAGAAGAGTAAATGGCTTCTAGATTGCAATGATCATGTTTCATATATCAACAATTAAAAAGCTTTAAGGAATAATGGAAAGTAAAACAAAGCTTTACAGAAGTTCTTGTGGCCAGTCATACAGCACTTATCAAAGCTGACAAGTTTATTTATAGTCTAGTTTGATTTCTAGAAGATTAAATTCAGAAAATAGATGAAGCTGGGGTTACATTTTCTGACACTGACATTCTGCTCATAATTTGCCATCATTAGCAATAATTTGAACTTCATCAATATTAAAATGATTGCTATATCACACTCCTTCCCTTTCTGCTAATTGACATTTCATATTATGAATTTTTTTAAATGCCCTTTTTAGAGTATATAAAACTTATCCCCAGAATTTTAAATAGTTATTTGGATTTTTTTTTTGCAAGTTAGGGTTTCATCAGAAGGCATATTCACTTGATTTCTTCAAAATTCTTCTTCAAAAACAAGGCTAAAATGCCCCAAATCAATGGGACTTCTCCAGTATAAATGGGTTGACTTTTCAGATAAACATATGCTTCCTATGTCCCAGTAATTTCACAGTAGTAAGCAAAAAAATGGAATATGAAGATATTAACAGCAAAACCCCACTAACTTACTGAAAGAAGTTTGGCCCGAACACAGTGGCGAGATTGTGAACATTCATGCGATTCTGCAGGTGATGCTTGGCCACTTTTGTCAAGAACTGGCAGAGGTACTTGAGGAGGCAGTAGTGGGTATCTGGAAGCTCTCTTATTAAATCTCTTAAACTATGTTCCTGAGCATCACATCTGCCATCTGGAAAAAAAWAATAATAAAAAAAATGTTCTCAAGCATATTTCACAGCAACAAAAGCATACAGATATAATAAATCCAAACCTTTTATTCAGAAAAAAATTCCCTAGAGACTAATATAGGCCTTGAGCATTTGATGTTTTTAAAGTTTTTAAAATTAAAAAAAAATTTTTTTGTACTGCTGGAGTAATCTTGTGTGTTGTGCATGCTTGGTAAGCACTCTACCATGGAGCAAGACACCCCAGCTCTTTATTTATTTTTTTCCATGTTAAAGAATTACTAATTTATTCAAGAAATTCTGAACGTCACAAGTTTTACTTAGTGTATAAAATGGATTCGTATTTCAATTTTTTGGTTTTTTCCCCAATATGAAAATATTGGTTAGATTTTTATTCCATAGTAAAATTTTACAGTTGATAAATCTTTGAGTTTGTACAAAACAAGAATTAGATCTTGCTGGATTGTCACAAGGGACACTAAACTTAATGATCAGCTACTGTGATGAAAACTGAAGGAAACATAATTTTTATGTAGTTTTGTAATCTTGACAGTTTTCCTCCTTGAACAAACTCGAGTCAGTCTTCTCTGAGCTCTTTTTCAACTAAACCCACATTGGACACGTCCTTAAGAACCTTAGCAAGAATCTCTCATCCTAAATATTCGATCACCCTTGATATCCGAGCAACTAACTCGTCTCCCACCATCCTCAGATGGTGTGTGACTATGTTGGTGCCTTCAACAAGACTCTAATTAGGCAGGTTTAACCACAATCACCTCTTTCCCCAGATGCTTCCTCTTAGTGATTTTCTATTCACCAACTGTCCTCACTCCACATTTTCTACTTGGCTATAAAATTCCCACTTTTCACTGTCACATTCCAAGTTGATTCCAATTTTCCCTTCTGCAAAACCCCAATGCAGTAGTAGTACTGAATAAAGTCTGTCACCATTCTCTAAGAAGTTTGAGAATGGATGACTCTTTAATATTTAATGTGCCATAAATACTAGTCCCCTTTATTGGAGATTTCACCTTTTGTGACTGCAAATACCACAATTGTGATCTGAAAATATTAAATAAAAATTACAGAAATAATTAATAAGTTCTAAAGAACTTTGATTATACTGTATTATTATGACACTTTATTATTAATGTTGTTAATCTCTTACTGTGCCTAATTTATAAATTATATTGCATCACAGGTGTTTATGGATAGAAAAAACAGTACTATCTGTGACTGGTACCATTTGTGGTTTCAGGCATCCTCTGGGGGTCTTGGAACATACCCCCCATGGCAAAAAAGGGGACTACTACCATTCAGAATTCAATATGCAACTCTCATACAAAAGTCTAATAAACTTGCATCAAACCAAAGTGTCTGATGATGTGTCAAGAGTCACAGGTATGCAGATGAAAAGTTTCCCTTAATTTTGGTGATTTGTTTCGCCAACACTTATATACAGTAAAGTTGCTAACGTTAAAACCATGATGTTCTGGTTTCTGTCAGAGGAAAATACAAATCTTTTATAACAAATAGTTCAGGGGGATAATCCAAATCTACCCCTTTAATAGGCATCTAAAAGAACAAAAGTTTAATTCATATAAATTAATACACAGATTGAATTCTGTAGACTGGTCAGTTTTAGCCAATCAAGTGACTATAAAACTGAACGGTGAGGCAAACAGATCCAAAGAAAGATTAGCTACAAAACATGTGACTAACATAATGCCACTGACAAAGTGAAAATACACAGAATGTCATATGCAGAAAGGGATAGCGAGTGGCTGCACGGGATCTGAGGGCAAGCTCAGGAATTTCCTGCATGAGGACCTTGGTTCTGCTACCTACTACCTACTACCTACTACCTACTACCTAGATGACCAAGGTGGTTCTGCTTGTGACGATGTTAATCCCCACTGCACTATGTTTTTAAGTAGCAGGGATATATGAGAAATTGAAATATTTGGGACTGGGTTGTAGTAGCTCAGTGGTAGATCACTTGCCTTGCATGCATRAAGCACTGGGTTCAAATCTCAGCACCCCAGAAAAATAAAGATATTGTGTTCATCTACAACTAAAAAAAAATTTAAAAAAGAAATGAAAATAATTAACTTTGGAGTAATTAATAATGATGACACCCTTTTCTCATATGTTTGTATTATAAAATTAAACAAATATGAACCTATTTTATCCTTTCTCTTTTTTTTTTTTTAATGGGGACTAATTCAAAATTAGTCTAGTTCGTTTCTCTGTTTAAAACTGGTCCAAGTCTCAGCATTTAAGGARACAAACAACAGGGTTCCAGCCTCTGGCTTTGAGATGAAACCTCAAACCCTAAGACAGGCARTGTGTGAAGACACCGGATCAAATAGAACAATATTCAAAATAGTGACCAACTTATGATAATAACATCTTTGAAAAAGAAGCAGCACTTTTAGTATTTACTTTCGATTTCTTAAATATAATAAATTTACCAGGAAATAAATTTGACAAGTAATGCTTAACAAAATAACACATGGCACGAATACAAGAATCATTAAATATGTTCTCAAAAGGCAAAAGTAACTGATAAAGAATTACCTTATAACTATTTCCTTCTCCCCCAAAGCATTTCCATTTTCTATGATGGAAGACAGATTCATGGATTCCCTTGCTAGGCAAGGGTGTGAGTATCCTCTACAGTAGCAGCTTTGACAGCAGCACTTTCACACTTAAACCTTAAATATTTCAAATAGYCCCAATCCTTGTTCAAATATATTGACAGTAAAGACCTTAATTTATTAGCATGACATCTCTCTTCACCTCTTTTCATACTAATTATGTGCTAACATACTGAGAATCTATAATTTKTTCTGTTTCCAGAAATACCTGGTAAATAACACCATTGCAGCCAGCCTGCCAGAGTCCTACAGACCAGATTTCCTATATCTGAGAACAACAGTTGCTCAGCATCTTCAGGGGAGGCTCGTGGAATGCTTGTCGTAGCAGGAGTGAAGCCATAACGGTACAAATGTGACTATTAAGAAGAAGCCTTCTGATGTGTGCAAGAAACAAAATTCATAATACAGGTTGAGCATTCCTTATCCAAAATGCTTTGGACCAGAAGTCTTCTTTATTTCAGATTTTTAAATATTTGCATAACACAAGACGATATTTTGAAAATGGGACCCAAGTCTATCTAAGCATGATATTCTCGTACGGTCCTCATACATATAGCCTGAAGGTAATTTCAYACAATATTTTTAGTACACTTGCATTTTGACACAAGAGGTCACATGTGGAATTTTCTACTGTGGTATCACATAGGTACTCAAAAAAATTTTGGGTTTTGGACCATTTCAGATTTTGGATTAAGAATATTCAACCTGCTGGGTGARGTGGTGCACACCTGTAATCCCAGCTGCTTGGGAGGCTGAGGCAGGAGGATCATGAGTTCAAAAGCCAGCCTCAGCAATGTGGAGGCACTAAGCAATTCAGTGAGACCCTGTCTCTAAATAAAATACGAAATAGGGCTAGGGATGTGGCTCAGTGATTGAGTGCCTCTGGGTTCAATCCCCAGTACAAAAATAAAAAAGAAAAGAATGTTCAACCTATAATTGCTATTGCATGTGTTGTTTTTTGAATTGCTCATATTTAAACGTTGCTTCATTTATTCATATTCTYGTATTCATATTGGTAAATACAATGTCTCCCCTCAATGTCTCACATTATAAAAAAGAGTTAGTAATGCTTTTATTTTTATGTACCTTTACCCATAATATACATTTATTGTACATTATGGGTGATATTTATCTTTCCGTGTCTGACATTCTCTAATAGCAAGGATGTAGCACTGCACAAAGCAAAATCCATGCACTTATGAAACTTATTCTAATTGATGTGGAAACAGACAATCAAATAAATTTAAAATATATATGCAAAGGGATGACTTAAGTGCTATGAAGAAACACACCGCAGAATAAAGGGAGTAAAGCAGAGTGATGAGGGAAGGGGAGATGTTACTTCATTCACCATGGTTAGGGACTCCCTACTAATATCAGGACACTTAAGCAGAGTTCATGGAWATGGGAAAGTATATTCTCCGCAGAGGAAGTGCCAAGGCCCTGAGGTGGAAGTCTTAGGCCTGGGGCCAAGCAGCAGTGGATGGGGAGACTAATGGGGAATGAGATCAGGAGATGATGAGATGAAGGGCAGATCACTAGTCTGATTAGGAGCCATTGTCTTTTTTTTTCCCCCCCGAGTAAGAGTTTTGGGATATGAAGAGACATCATCCRAGGTAAAGAACCACTTCAACTGCTGTGCTGCGTCTAGACTGGAGGACCTTGTTCTGAAGCCAGGAGACTAGTGAAGGAAGGAKAGTCAGTTCAGAGAAGAAAGGCTGGTGCCCGGACAGCCCGATCACGTGAGATGTAAGATGAGGGTGAATTCTGGATATAGCTGGAATGTATCCAGTTTATTATATGAAAAATGCTTGTTTTATATGTGAAAAATACATGTATAAAATAGTCAATCATTCTGCAAATGTTTATGGAGTGACTAACTCTGTGCCAGGTGTCATTCTRAACATTTTGGATACATCMGTAAACAAAACAGAGATCTTTATCCTCCGGGAACTTGCCAACTACGATTTTAAATAAGATTGTTAGAAAGGTATGATTGAGAATGCATTGAATTATGTAAAGTTAAAAATCCACAAACTGGCATATGCAATCTCTCTCAGAGTCAGAAGTTGAGTTTGAACCATCTTTTAAATGCCTTTAATGCTTTGCATATAAAAAGTGATGATCAACAGTTGAGTAGAGGAAGGCCAATAAGAGGAGGGAAGAGGAAAGGAAAATGGGGAGGACCAGGGAGTAAAACAGAGTCAATCAAATTCCATTCATTTAATTTAATGGGAATCTTAATTCATTTTTGACAAACCGTAGCTGTTTAAATTCTGGGAGGTTTGYGAGGGGAGACATTTTAATAAAAGCCTACAAGAATGTGCACAAAATGTTTTGCATGA